TAGTAAACTTAGAGCTGAAATAAATTTTGTGACTGTCCCATTTCAAATAAAACCTTAAAATTATATACACATACTGGCAATAAATATACGTGCACTTTACTACAAACATTTGGAGCATCTTCACACACACACATGCCACAAAGCAATCATTAATAATTTGTTCAAGTTTTGAGATGGAAACAAGACATACAAGATCTTGAACAAGTAATGTTTTTCCAAATGAATCTCTTGACTTGTTTGTCTTGTTGTGTTGTACACAGCACGTAGTTCATCATACCTTGCAGGATCCCGTCAACCGATGTTAAAATCGGCAACTTTCACCAAACCCAGTTAGTTGGGCTAAAAACGTACCGAAGGGTCAAATGAAAATTGAAAAAGTGACACGAATTACGAGAGTGAAAAAAAAAAAGAAAGAAGCAACGCATCATTTACGCAGTCCAGTGATACTATGCGTGTACGCGTGTGTATAATATTTATGCAAAGAGAAACATATAGCCGTAGCCCACAAGCCGTCGGCGTGTTTGCGGGGCCCGTTTTCCAGCTCACGCAGCGCTTGTTAGTGTCCAATTGTGAAGAGCCGCTGCCAGTATAGGCGTGTAGTGCTACAGGCACAATACCTATATATACTCGCTCTTCGTCTCTTTCTCCTTTTCACGTGGACAAAGTGAGATAGAGGACAGGATAGAGGAAGAGCTAATTTGCCGCGTCGGCAGGCCTCCATAGCCGGCTGATGGCCGACCGCAGAGGTATGCGCTGCATGTGTGGGCGGATGGGCGCGGATGTGCATCTGTGCAAAAGCCCGTGTACAATGCCACGCCGTATATATACGCCCGCAGCCCCGTACCAGGCATTCGCGCATATACAGCCCGTAGGCACGGTTGTACGGTGTGGGTAGTCCGTATTGTACACATATATATACCTGCAGCGCATATGGGTGGGTATACCGGCTTCTCTCGCTCGCCGGGGAGAAAATTAGCGCTTCGCCTCCCTGGCATATATACTCGTGTTATTATGTGTACGGTGCTTTTGCGAAGGTGTATTATGATGCACGTCGGTCGAGAGGCATTTATGGAGAGGCACTCTAGAGTGGGTATGTACATTATGTATCCAGCATACATGCACATGCATGAAACAACTGTGCACAAAGTTGGGGTATGCACGCGTGCGTTCGTATGATTGTATGCATACTCTGCTGACGGGAGGAGAGGAGAAAGAAGAATGACGATGAATTGCCTCGGGTGTGCATGTCCAAGTGTGCGTCCGTTTGTGTGTTAAGGAGCATGAGACACGTACACTGGGCGCTGATTACTCTTCTGTGTTGAAAAAAAAAAAATAATAATAATAAATAAATAAGTGTTTAAATTTATTTTAAAAAATGATTAAGTTACGACGATGAATAAAAAATCGAGCAATAGTGCGTGTACAAATGAAAATGTAATGAAAAACAAACAATAACAACAACAGCAGCATCAGCACTTGATGTACACGCAACAATGAAATATTCATTAATCAGCGACCTCGTTTACCTCCCATCAGGCCCTCCTCTTCCTCACCGCGATTCCATTCGAATTATCCATGTATACGTATACGCGCACTCGATAAAGAATATTATAAAAACACGACGCCCCCCTCGGCGCACCATGCATTATATATACAGCTGCACCCCAAAGTCAACAAAAACAATTTCCCGGCCGGTGCATAATATTTTCGCACAAAAGTTTGCTCAAAGCATCGCTGTACGCTAGACCATCCCTCTCTTTTGCTTTTACCCCGTCATATGCACGCAGGACACGAAGTGCCGCAAACGCATCCACGCACTAGCAAATGGCACTTAATTACGCCGCTATCGTCCTCGTGCACCCCGGAATTTTCGAGTTTTCATACAGCACACACACGTCCGTGGGTCTTTTTTCCCCCCCTGCAGCTTTTCCATGGGTGCAATTTTCTCGTCCGCGGACGGGCGTGAAAATGGCTTTTGAATTCGCGGCGCTTGGCTCTATATACTTACGCCCTCTCCCAATGCCGCGGAACAAATAAACGAATAAATTGATAAACGCGGACACACGTGGCAGCTGAATTAGCCGTAATGACTAATGCATTCAGCCGGAAGGGAGGGATATTCAAAATCAAGTATCATCGTCGCGTCGTGCTGTCCTTTATCATCATCAGCAGCATTTTCGATTCTCTCTCTGCTCATTTATATTTGCATATACGGGCACCGCGAGGGATTCGTCCATTACGTATGCGCGAGATACAATGCATGCGAGTGCACATATTTATGTGTACCCATACACGTGTGTATATGGAGACACAGAGACAGAGAGATGATTTCTCTCGACATCAATGCGTGACTATGGCCGGAAGCGATTTTCGATATATTGCGCGTGTACGAGCGTGTGTGGCGATTCGGGCACGGAAAGAATTTCGGTTTCGCGTGTGAATGGCACTGATTTTGATTGCTCTGCGGTGCTCTTATATTTGCTCGATTCGGTCGAAGGGGAGGGAAAAAAATGTCTGTCGCTTTACTCGGGCCATTTCCATGTCGTTGTTTTAATGAAAGCTCATGTATTTTTCGCTTTCATTTTACTGGGATATTCTCTTTTTGCATTAACAAATATAGAGCTAAAAGAAAAAAAATAAATTTAATTAAAAACGATGACCAATTTTTTAAGTCATATACTTACTTGTTAACCATTTTTTCTGATCAACTTTGTATTTTCATTGACAAGAAAAATTGTATTGTTCATCAGTATAAATAATATTTGTTTGATCCAATAGATTGGCCTCCCATAAGTTATTGTGGCGTCATCAAAGCTATTGTACTCGAAAATCTAATTTTCTTGTTTCTTATTAACAAGCAAATTAAAATCGTTTGAAAAAAAAAAAGTATTAAAAGTAAAAAAATTGTTCGATATAAACTTTTGCTTCTGATCAGCCCGAGAAAATGCACACGCATTGTTGTATGCATAGTAACCCGAAGCCAATCGGGCAATATGCAAAGCACTTTCGGCCTGCAGGTCGGACACTTGTGCATGTACATATACACTCGCATGCGAACGTGCTTCAGCGAAATACCCCTTGTTCCATCGTTGGCGTAATGGCAATGCAATGCGTGTATATATGCACTTGCGCGCGGCATCGCTAATTACACGGCTGAGCGGGAATCGTGTCGAAAGCTCTTCCAAGAGCCTTCTCGTAACACCACCGATACACACGTGCTATGAGCCCGCGAGTGCGTGTACAGGATGTTACAATATAATTGCTGTATGCACAATGTATCGGGTTAAAGTGGTTTTTGTTTCAGCTTTTTATTTCCCGAAAAATTTTTTTTTTTTTTTTTTTTTGTTGGGGGGGGCAAAAGGCATGGGTAATAACCCCAGGACCACGTTTGGGGGGGGCCCGAAAAATTTTTTTTTTTTTTTTTTTTTTCCCCGAAAAATTTTTTTTTTTTTTTTGTTCGGTCAAAAAAATTTTCTCTTCAATTACGTCCCACGTGGCATGAATAAGATCCTTTTTCTTTATGCTTGAAAATTTTATTTGAACAACTGTTGTTTGAAATAATAATTTAAATAGAGCCGCTTCAAATAAATTTCAAGAACTGCCGTTGGCATGCGCTATCAATGCAAATCAATGCGGATAGTCGCGTTTCAAGGGCGTGATATACACGTGCAATGCATCGTATACGTTTCATGCGGAGCAGAACGTCGACCTCCGTCCTTAAATGTTTATTGTAAAAAAACAATGTTGCCATTACTTTTTTCAATTTTCGTTTTTTGGAAGTTGTAGAGGAAGGTTAATACAAGAAACTGAATATATTTTTTTTAGATCGAAAAAATCACTTTTACTAATTTGTTTAAAAAAAAGTTAGTTTATACAAATTGTGACCAGGTTGCGCGGTGGCAACATGAAGTTTCTCAATCTGTGGGATCTAATGAACATATTTACGCAAAAAAATTCCTTTGCCATTGATCTAGGACGACGCCGCCAATTTTGACCCGTCTATTATGTTTACCCACTGCGGCAGTCATAATATAGGCTCGGGTTTCTTTCGTGCAGGAGTCAAAGGATATGTGAATTAATAAACTTGCCAACACAGGATTGATTTTTTTTTCCATAATCTGTTTTATTCACTTACTTGTCTCTATATTTATAACAGACTCCTTTCTTCGAACCATTTTTATTTTTCATCATTTACTAGCGAAACATAATAACGCGTGTACCTTAATTAACTATACTTTAATTTTATCTATTTATTTTTTTTTTTTTTGTATCATTGTTTGGTTTTCGTGTAAGTGTTTAAATGCGTGTGTCACATATATATATATATCTATCTATCCATGCATACGATAATCGAAGTTGTATTTACAAGAAGTTCACGTCACTCATACTCGCATCGTCGCCCAATACTTAATAATAATTTATGCACTCGTCTTCTTTAGCTTCCCTCTTTTATTGTACATCCAGCTCTGAAATTCTCTCGCGATCTTTCATCGTCGTCGTCATTGTATCGTTATTTTATTTTATTTTTATTTTTTTTCTCAACTCGGTCTCTTTTCGATTACTATAATTACATCAATTTCATATCGTTACGTATAAGAGGCATGTACATAAAAGGTACGGGACGAGAGAGGGTTAGGTGTTTCACGTAGAAAAATATGACGGTATGTACTAACAGCTATTTACAAAATGTACATACGAGTTTCTGTGTTAAACGGACGCAAGAGCCGTTTGTTTGCAAACACTTTCGCGGCTCGTGCGCCGTTTTTATTGGTGTGGTTGGCATTTGCAAAAAGTTTCCTCAACTTTTACCCCTAAACGAGATAACAACGATTGAGCAAATATTTCGTCTCCATTTTCCATCATTCTCGCGTTTATCAAAATAAAAAGCTTACCATCTAGCTTAACAGACTCTTATATCTACAAAAAAAAAAAAAAAAAAAAAAAAAAAAAATTATATGACATTATAAAGCAACGAATCGATTAAAAATCGATGTCAACATTATTAAACGCATAAATTTGTTTTGCAGTCATCACAAACAGTAGCTTTTTGTTTTTTACATGCAGATCTGTGTGTCCGATCATTGTCGAACAATAAACGCCTAGTCGAAATTTTGACATTGTTGCAAGAGCAGTGTAAAAAAAAGGCAGGCAGACGATCAAAGAACTTTTTACAGTGTCCGTATGTATGGGTATTCCTGTGTGTTTATCTGAACATGTGCCTCTGTAATATGTATCTCTACGTGGGTGCAAGTGTTGGACTTGCGTGTGCGCTCGCTTGTAGCTATATTTATATTTATACGTACGCGCTCCGTGCTATAGTTTCGGACGAGGGGGACTTTATTTCAAAAGAAGGGGAGGAAAAGCTATCAATAAATAAAAAACGATGCAGTAAAAACGCAGTATATCCTCTTACACAGTCGTCGGACCCGTCCGAAACTGCCGGGAGCTGAAAGACTCCGTGTTTTTTGTTTCTTTTTTCCCCCAAACAATGTGCTGTCGTCGTCACCTTTAGCGAACAATCATCTGTACACCTACGTAGCGCCTTTGCACTATTGTATGATTAAAAATGACGACGGGTCAATGGGTTAAGTGTCCTTTTGTTTTTTGCCTCCTGGGCGTTGTAGTGCAGTGGTTGCCGGCAGCTCAGTACATGACCTCGTACACGGTCGCCTTCTTGTCTCCGGAGCCGGTAACGATGTACTTATCGTCGGCCGAGATGTCGCAGCTGAGCACCGACGAGGACTCCTTCGACTGCAAGGGAAGCAAATAACAGACCATCGATAATGCGACGTTTAAAGGCGCTGCTCGACGATAAAACGATTTTCGCAGGAAGGGGATTATGGAGGTTCATCGATCGCCCGGCCCGGTGGTCTGCCGTACGGAGGAGGGATCGATATACTTGAGAGCAAACTTTCTTGTTTTCGTAAAATAATCGAGAATCGACACTTTTGAAGTATCCCTCTCTAACGACTTTTTTGCAGAAAAAAAAAAAAAAAATGGTTTTTTCAACTAAATGGTTTGTTACGAAATATGTTTCCCCACGATGAAAATAGCGTTACGCTGCTCATACGTACGTATAATTATGGCTTGATTATGTAAATTTAATAATAAATTAAAACTCAAGCCTTTCGCATCAATTTTAAAAGCACCGAGCATTAATGAAAAGCATAATTTAATTAACGCGATATTTCACGTGTACGAGGCAGCTAAAAAAAATTTATTTATTTTTTATACTCCCAGTGGATAATATATGGGTAAAATTAACATGTTGATTGAGCACACCGTGAATATATATACGTATATACTAGAACAGTTGTTTCAAATTTCGGCCGTGTCTAGCCATGAAAAAATGTAATACACGGCGGACAAAAGAGAAACGCGTAAACCTTAAAAATTATGTGTTTGAGGGTGAAAAAAAAAAAAAAAAAAAAAAAAAACAAACCAGGATGAAGGAGGAGGAGGGTACAGAAAGGAAGTTAGAAACTGGTATCACGGCCATTGTAGTTCAGCGAAAAAGTAGTCCGAGCGCACAATGGATGCAAACGGGAGCAATAAAAATCTGTGGTAATAAAGCGTCGAAAGCAAGCATCACGACGAGGGTAAGAGAGGGACGCTTTGAGGACTGCCCTTGGGAGAAAATATACGACACTACGGCTACTTTTTTTTTTTTTTTTGTTCATCTCCGAGTATGCGCGTGTAAGAGGCAATCTTGCGCGTCCCCATCTCCTCCGCTCGTAAAAGTATGGGAGGTAAGGGAAGAAGAGGCACGCAGCAGGACGCGTTGTCGAGAACGAAGAGAAAAATGTAAAGAAAAAGCAAAAGAGCTGAACGAAAACAACGCGTGCTCACCTGGAATATCGAAGCGCCGTAAGGCGTGCGCCAGGCGTTGAGTAAGTTGTCCTTGCCGGTCGAGACGAACCACTTGCCGCACGAGGCGAATCTCAACGAGAGCACGCAGGACTCGTGCAGGTGGAGCTGGTACTTGTCGGGCTTGCTGGCGTGGAGGACCTCCACGTTCGAGTTCTCCATACCCACGGCCAACCACTCGCCCGACGGACAATAGCCCAGGGAAAAGATCTGGGACGAAAAATCGTGCTGTTGGAGCTGCCTGCCCTCCCTCAGGTCCCAAGACCTGACCGTGTTGTCGAGGCCTCCCGTCCAAAGTTTGGAGCCATCCGCGGATATGTCGATGCACGAGGCGCCGTCCGTGTGTCCCTGGAACTGCCTGACCAGGGTCTGGTTGTGCAGGTCCCAGACCGCGATGTTCCCGTCGCTGCAGCAACTGAAGCAGACCTTCGAGTCTGGAGAAATGGCCAGGGCATAGCAAGCCGGTGCGGAGGACGTTAGCTCGGCCTTGATCCTCGGGGTTGGGCTGGCCAGGTCCCAGATGCTGAGCTGACTGGCCTCACCACCGACTATGAGGGTACGGCCGTCGGGCAGTAATTTGACCGAGCGGATGTAGTTGTCGCGCTGGAGGCAGTCGAGCTGCGAGACGGGCTTGGCTTGGCTGCTGCCCGCCTGGCTGATGTCCCAGACCTTGACGCAGCCCTTGCCACCCGTGTACACGTACTTGGTGGGGTTCGAGATGGTCACGGCGCACACGACCTCGCCGTGGGTCAGGGTGTTCAGTTGGCGCGCGTGGCGCGGTATTCCAGTGCCCATTAGGGCATCCGGCGGAAAGGGCACCGGTACCATTACGTTATCGCTGGACACGTGAAAGCTGTACGCCCTGGAATCAGCGAATGAGAGGCAAAGGTTGCCACTGTATAGAATTGTACTTGGCCTTCCTTCCACGTCAAACTATCTTCACTCATTTCCCATTGCCCCCTTTTTCCTATCCTATCTTATCTTACTATAATATATAAAGCAGAAGCGCTAAAACCGAGGCTAAGACCGTTGTAATCTCTAACCGCGAAAACTACTGGACCGATTTTGTTGAAACTTTGCACACTGATTCATGATACTTCCTAGATGGTTTTAGTATAGTTTTCATCTTAGAAAATTTAATAACAATAGCAATAAATGAGCTCAAAGTTTTGCAAAAATACGTCAGCTTTTCACTTTAGTTCAGTAAAATCCGCTAGGTGTCGTCGACATAAAATCGAAGCTACCTATCGAAGCAACATAATTAAATAAGTGTGGTTATAATAGGCTGGAGCGTCGCCTTACTGTTGTAGTCGAGCTTCGGCATTTCAATGAGCTGCACAGAGAATGCTGATGATAGTCTTGCAGCTGGGTATCCCGGTTACGGATGACACTATTCTCTAAGGCTGTAGGGACCTACGTGTCCATTCACCCTGAATGTCGACGAGTAGTGCGATCAAATAAAAAGAAATAATTCCAACCGATGCCGTCTCTGCCACAATACCAGGAGACATACCTAGCCAGAGCACAATCTGCACCAACTCTTAAGAGTTGTGAGGCAGTCCCACCATCCCACCTGGTGCAGTTAGAAAATTTGTGGCTACAAATGTAAGCAAGGGAAAACAGCTCTGAGGGGCACGGGCAGCCACAACGGCTACCTTCTTGGTTGTCGCGTCCCCAACGCGCTTACCCACATGTTCCCGTCTAACGGTGAGCGGTTGGTTATCCGGGGAACGACCCAAAACGAGATATTCTTTGGTCAGCGGCGTACCTCCCTCCATCACAGTCTCCGTACATCGAGACTCCCAGGGTAAGAATCAAGCAACCCGTAGCCAGCTCTTCATCATCAGGAATAATAAGAAAGAATAGCCTGGAAGTTTCACCACTGGCGCTTTTTAGGGCCATTATAAGTATTTACGTTCCCTACTTAACCATCAATTTCATCGGTTCTTCTTAGGATCCACCTAAGTGTAAACTACCTTGCCAACAAATACATTTTTATTACCATTTCCGGAAGCGGTTCGTCGACTAAAAGACTATATTAACTAAAGCTGGCACTATTAAACCAAGTCAGCCATTCACTAGCAGACGTCACCTGCGGAGTTTTTCTTCGCAAGGCTGGAAAACCCGGTGACCGACGACCCTATACTACCCTCTCGACTCTAAGCATTCAACCAGGAATCACTGATCCTCTCCAAGGTCTGCGTTGGGCAAACCTATAACAGCTATGAAGGAAAAAAAACTTGAGCCAACGGAACAGCCTCCACTGGACAAGTATCACTGACCAATCTCCCCATCTAAGATCACCAAAACAACTGAATCTGCAACTAAAAAAGGTGCTTTAGACACCAACGTCTTCGACGTTGTACCGGGAGACGTTGGCAAAGAGCACTACAACTAGCCCCAAAGCTTCGAACTTTGTAATTGTTCTCCTAATCAGTCTGGGTCTTCAACAGCAAGCCAGAGAAGATCACCCTGAGGTATCCTAGCAGTCACAATTGCTGTTAACTGCAGTCAAGAAAGAGTTAACTTAAGAAGCTCACCGGTCTTTTTTAGGGCCATCGGACGTCGAACTACTTTGCCAACAAATATATTAGAACTTAACAAAGTTGACAGAAAACACACTTTAGGGGTCACACAAATTTTAAGCATGCCAAAAGTCGCAAGAGGGTGAATCGGAAGAAAAACTTCAAGTGTATCTAATAAATACAATTTTACTTAGGCGTCACGAAACTGACGCAGAAAATTCATCGAGATTGGAACAGCAGCGTCAAAATCGACAACTAAAGAGTCCATTACGTGAGAGATCAGCTTTTCATTGTACCCTCACAGCAATCTCTGAAATCTTTAAAGATCCTACTTCAGATTTTTAAATAAGTAGAAAATGTATTTGTGTTTTTGTGGCAATAAAAATGTAGGGTTCAAGGTCCAGGACTTTGTTGCTCTGGTAATAAAGTTGTGAGATATGAGAAAAAAAATTTTTTTTAACATAAATTTTTTGGGGGTTTAAAATCTTAACAGCTTTAAAAAATAGCTGTTTTCGTGAATTACACGGGAGAAACTGTAAATCAACGGCTTCTTATGGCCACCGATTATTTTATGGCATAAAGAACGCACGGTACTTTTCAGCATAATCATATGTTTTTTAATTTTTACAGCTTATTATTTGACCAAATAAACTATATGGATTCCGAAAAAATATGTTTTCAATAAGAAGATTTTTGTTTTGAGATGTAAAAATTTCTAACTTAAAATGTTTCACATTATATGTCAACACACTACGGTGTTTTATTTAGTAAGTCTCGGGCGAAGCCGAGACGGGGGGCTGCTAGTGTGCTACTATAGGTAATATTATCAGGTGTATCAATTGTTTCAAGCACGCCAGGATGGTTTTCTTTTTGTTTACCTAAGAAATTCATTCGATTCGTATTTATTTAACCCCCATTTATAAAAACACAAAATTTACAAATATGAGAAATCGTAATTCGTAGTTGGCCGATCATAAATACGTTCCATCAATGACATAAAAATCGAGGAGTAAACATATTAGCAATAAACAACAGTAAAAAATGAAAACTTACGGTTTGCCACCGGGCACGGCGCCGACGGGCACGGGCGGCACTCGCATAGCCCCGTGGGGGTCGTAGAGTTGCTGCTGCAGGCTAGACGGTGGTCTAGGCGCCACGTAACCATTGTAGGCCATCAGCTCAACGTGGGCCGGGTGCTGGGCACCTGGGGGCAAATGGTGAGCAGGCCCAGGGTAGTGCCCGGGATAACCAGCGGCTGCCAGTGCACCAGGGGGTGGAGGCCCCTGAAGGACCTTACCCGAGCTCGAGGGCTTCAGAGCGGACGCCGAGGTCGGGGTCAGCGGCTTCGAGATCGGCGTGGTGGCCTTTTCCCGGTCCTCCATCTTCTTAGCCGAGGGGGTGCTCGCGTTGCTGCTGGTGCCACTGCGGGGCGACTGGGGTGGTAGATCCTTCGAGGACTTGGCTTGGCCGTTCTGGCCATTACTCGTGCTGCTACCGCTGCTACTGGCCCCGAGGCCCGCGACGCCGAGTTTGTCGATGCCGTTCTCGCGCGGCGATGTCGTACCGTTGACCACGGGACTGGTCGGGCAGTCGCTCGCGTCGTCAACCACCAGGTCTTGGTCGCTCTTTTCGCCATCGCTCTGTTTCATCAATTTTTAAAAGGAAAATCGAGCGTTTAGTCATTGTGCCAAATTTGGAAATGCTAGGGCATTTGTTATCATTATGATAGGGATGTGATATTGCAGCAGGAATTATACGTAGCTGGATTCCCACATCTTTTTGAGGAAAATTAAAATGTGGAACTAAAGATACGTAGTCTAGAATGATCGATGATTACACACTCAATATGTTTTTGCAATATAAATTTTTTCTAAGGTTTCAATGTATTATTTGTAATAAAAAAAATTTGTCAATTGCTGCTTGTAACACAGTGATGAACAATATTTTTTTTTTCAAGAAAAACAATCAATTGAAAAGTGAAAACAATTTAGGAAAAAAAAAAAGAGTCAATCCATTTAAATGAATTATTTCAAGTAGTTGTCAATTACAGTAAGCTTCAATCTATAAAACGTATTGAATTTAGGTGTGGAAAAATTTTTTTTTATTTTTCTCAGTCATTTGTTACGCATAGAAATGAATAAAAAAGTATTTACAAATCCATAAAATAATTGCACCCAAGTCTGCACACATGTACTGGCGCGTTACAGTGTCAGGGGACACGCGGTAAAAAAGTGAAAAGTTCATCAAAACGACACTCCGGAGCGTGAGGCGAGAAAAGTCCATATATATACACGCGAACCCGTTTGCGGCGAGATGTACATGTACACGGGAACACCGTCGCAGCGCAAAACTTCAAAGGTCCTTTTCCCATCTGGGAGTACAGCAGTACACTTAGCGCAAAATGCCTTTCCGAGACGACTGCCACCGGCTCTCGCAGCTACTCGTGCAAAAGTCGACGCAGAAGCCTGACAACGCAGTCAGGGGCCACGGGAGCTGTCTCTCCTTCCTCGGCGGGCTTCATTACCCAAATTGCTTTCCGCGAAAATCTCTTAGCTCCCGCCCCGACAATCTCGCTGATTAGAATTAGATGTGCCCAAAGTTTGCGCCTTCCGCTCGGACCTCTTGAGATTTTAATTCATTTCGCAAGGAGCGCCATGCTATACGTGTTCCGCGACGAAATACAACTTTGAGCGTCACCGCGCGGATGGAGCGTACCTTTGGGAAAGTCCTCGGCTGTTTATGATTACACAAGATTTTCGCAGTCGGACTCGACGACGGCGGAAGTTTGCTCGCGGATGAGGGGCTTTTAAACGACGATTCGTAAGAGACGAGCGATGAGGTGGAAGTATATGGGATGGTACTTTGTAATGCGTGTGTGTTCACGTTCATCGTTGAACAACTGAAATCCATCTGATGGAATAAGCTGAGGTATAACCATGTGGATACGGAAGAAAAGTTTTGTTTGAAGTTTTCGCGCCATCAAGAGTGTACATCGAAGTATGCGTTGTACGTCGACTAATAGTAGTAATAATAAAAAAAAAAATAAAAAAAATAGCAAATAATCATGCAAACACGTGCAAGTTCGACACTTGATCCGAGTGCCACTCTGCGGTTGCAACGAGACAACGTCGAAAAATCGAAAGCGATAAAACGGCGCAAGTGCTACCGTAAAAAAAAAAAAAAAAATGATGCAAACGCAATACGAGGTGTGAAGAAAGAAAGAAGGAAGGAAAAAAGATCTGGAAAACCAGCCAGTGACACGAGTATATCGAAAGCAAGATCGCATGTTATGGCACGAGAAAAAAGGGGAAAGGGAAAAGAGAGAAAGAATAAAGCAACAACAATGTAGATGATCAACTCACGTGTCCGAGATCCTTATCATGTTCCTTCTTCATTTTCTTGATGTGAATCGGATGATCGTGGTGGTTTTGCGTGTGGTGGCCGTGATGCGACTCCTGCGGCGAGCGCGGTCTTATGTACTTTTCGCCGGGCGATATCGAGCTCCTCTGTAAGCAGATACGTTTACGCTTCTTTCGATATGCAAGTCTCGTTTATACGTCTCGTGCAGTGTTTCTCGCCAATGCTCATGTGTTTGTGTATAGTCTACCGTATCGCGTGCGCTTGTGTTTCATAATACATACCTACGTAAAGTTATGTAAAATATAAACAGTGGGATTTCGTTTGATTTTTTTTTTTTTTTTTTTTTTTTTTTCTTTCGATCCAAATTTATTATTAATTCTATTGACAAATCAAAACTACAATTCGTATTTTCTTTTTTTTATCATAGCACAGGCAATAGTTATATTATAGCACACGGCATATATAATTCTTGATGAGTAAACTTCATCGAAGCAAACTACGATCGCAACAATAACCCGTTGGTGTAAAATTGCGACTCATCATATGTACGACTAATTAACAATTGCAACGACCATAAAGAGTACGTATACCCTTGCAATTACGGGGAGTGATCGATGTTACGAAACGTCACACCGATGAAAACGCTCATAGTTATTGTCTTTGGGGCAAATATTTCTAATCTCCTCGAAACCCGTACAGCTGCTCTCCTCCCCAATTATCGTCAGCGAGACCCAACATTCGCCAGTATAGGGATACACATGTATATATGCGCGCGCAGCGACCACTGAAAGCAATCCAATCAAGGCCACTCCTGCGAAAGCGAGAGACCGCAGCTGGCGTGGAAACGCGTATAATCGATTGTCGTGAGTATATATATATATAGGTTGTATACACATGTATATATGTATATACGTGCACCGCGTGGGTGTGCGAGTCAAGTGGACAGACGGACACGGTGTCGAGTGGCGATTTCTCGAGCGTCGTTGATAAATTGAGCGGTAAACGCGGGGCGTGTCTCTTTCGAAAGCACATCGGGCACCCATACCTATCTGTCGTCGTGTACTTGTAGCCCCGACACGTGTTTCAGCGAGTGCACGTATTATACATATCGTGCCAGTTGGATTCCAAGCGCGGAGATGATGGTGATTTTATGATGATCGCGTGCGCGGAAAATAATTTAGCTTGAGCGTAGCAGCGGGGAAAAGCCAGCAAAGAAAAGCAAAGGGGGAGGGGGGAGGATGTAAGGGTGTACCGATCTTTGGCCGAGGTGTAATTTGTACCCCGGCAGTAAAGTCTCCATTTGCGGGAGCGCGAGATAAAAAGGAATCGCCGGAACCGCCTCCTTCTCCTGCCCTCGTGAGAAAAACCGCCCGTGAGACGACGGTGTATTGGTATATACGGAGTCGGTGGTGTACTCACGGACTCGGTTGAACGAGAAAATCGAGCAAAAGGAGCTTGGGTACGACCACTATTCTGCCATAGCTCTTTTGTACCCGGGGCTCGATCGCCAGAAGCTGCGGTGTATCGGTTTCGTGTTGGATTCCGGTTCGCTTTTTTTCCCCCTCCTCATTCCGCATTCTTTGTGTTTTTCGAGTAAATCAAGATAAAGTGGACACGAGAAACACGGTATTAGTGATGTGTGTGTGTGTGTGTGTAGGCGTGCGTATCTGTACGAGAGGGGGAGGATCGAAAAATGCGTTAGGAAGAAAAATGCTAATTAAAGAGATTCTTTCATCTTTGGAAGGATATACATATATAACGGCCCGTCGGGGTGTGCGCGAGTGTGCAATTTAATTGCCGTTAACTGTAAAACACGCGATTAACGCACGTTAATCTTTGGACTGCCCATCACGTTTGTGGGACTCTTTTTTTTTTTTTTTCATCGCCAATTTGTATCTCGAGAGAGGTGAATTGAAAAAACCTGTTTCTCAGTGCGGTACAATAAATATCGTGTTCCTAAAATGTACAATGAAAATGAGAGAGAGAATCGCAGAAATGACGCATAATTTGGAACACGACTCTAATTTGGGGAGAGAATGAGCAAGAGGGGCAAAAAGGAAAAAGAGGGTACCAAAAGATTTCTGGAAAGAGCGAGGGGCAGAGCGGTAAAAGGAGAGGGTTAAACAAAAAAAAAAAAAAAAAGGTAGGTCAGACAGGCCCAAAACGAGAAAGAAAGACGGGGGAGGGAAAAAATGAGGAGTAGGTTCTCAGGGAACTGGCGAATAAACAAAGCCAGCCAGCTGGACTCGCTCGGAAGCGTCTGCGAGGGGCATACAGCTCACGTGTAAAAAAGAGAAGCGGAGGAGGAGAGCAAGAGAAATCGAGCAGCAAAAAAGGGCGAGGAGAGAGAGAAGACGCCAGGGGCTTTCGGGAAAGGGCGCGCGTGCGCCGATTTTGCGGACCGGTAATGGGCCGTAATGGAATTCACGAAGCCAGAGGGGCTGTGGGTATACTCCGAAACGCAGGCGCGAGGGAAGCGAAAGAGAGAAAGAGGTGGTTTCTCGAAGATGGGCGCTGCGACTGTGGTGCGACTAAAGTTTTTTTTTTTTTCATCTCTGCTTCGCGGGATGCTGGACGTATCCGTATAATCTCCGTACGGCTGCGAGCTGAGAAAAATCCACGCGACCCGATCAAAGCTCAAAGGCCCTTTCAACGCGGGTCTCTTTCGCGCGTGGATGGGAAGAAGTTCATTAGCAGCCCTAATGGCTCGTAGATGATACGGGCGGCCATCACGCGAGGAGCAGGTTTCCCCGAAAGTAATAATCGCTTTCGATAAATCCTCCTAATATACCTGCACGGACCGCACGGAAGAAATGCGACAAAGTGAAAAAAAAAAAGAAGAAGGGGGGACAAGAGACACCGAGAATCAACGATATTTCCGTGGATGCGGGGTCTATGGGTAAGAGGAAACGAGACAGAGTGGGCGAATGTAAGGGGGCGGTAAGGGAGGTATACACTTACGACCCGCTGATTACAGAGAGACGAGTGTGTGTGAGAGTCCCGAGGGAACGAAAACGAGAGGAGGGAAAAATAAAACGATGCGAGTGCGCGGATCAGATGCGGGAGTGAGGAGGCGATGGGCGTTTTGCGGTGCCCGCGATGATTACAGGCATCTCTCGGCTCGCGAGCCCTGTAATACACCACATACGCTCGCGGGCCCTTTCCTTCCTTTTTTTCTTTTCCTCTTCATTCACGTGCCCCCCCCTTCTCCCTCCCCCTTTTTTCTTCTCTAGGCGTCTCTTTTTCCTCCCTTGTAATGTGCTCCTACAGAGTAGCTCTACACACTACCTGCGCCATCTCGATCTCATTCTTCGTTTCTTTGTCTTCTTGCACAAGTACCTTATACAACCGGCTGCACCCACTTGCTCGGTGCTTTTGTTATACGCTGCTATTTTATTCTTTCGTCTATTTTTTTTTTTTTTNGCCTTAGTTGTGAAAGATCACATACAGCGTCTATAGAAAATTTGCTGTCGACTTGCAAGAGTTTTTTTTTTTTTTTTTTTTTTTTTTTTTTTTTTTTTTTTTTTTTTTTGTTCTCTTTCGTGCTTTTGAATCCTTTCCTGTGTTCGGTGAAAAGTTGTGCAAGCTGATTCGCGGAAACGGAAGGCGTGTTAATTATCAAGCCCTCGTATAGGTAGGGAGATGAAATAGAAGATTAAAATGTCGGTAATACGAGTGTACAGCTTTTTGGTGAGTGACCGATGATGTGAAAAATAAATTAAAAAGAAAAAACAAAAAAAAATAGAAAAAAACAGTAATGAGCGAATGGACGACTTGTGATGGAATTTTTAACACTTTCGTTGTGGTTCAATATTAACTTTTATTTACAAAAATTCATAAAAAAACAAAAAAAAACAAACAACACTTAGTTCGTACAAAAATAAGAGCTATACATACATGCTATATTTCAATAGCAAGTGCGTGTCTGATTACATTTTGGTGAGAGAAAAATTTTATATAAAAAATTTTTACAAAACATAATATTTATTCATTATTCACAAGTCGATATAATGTATCGTTTTGTTATTTTAGCGAGAGTGATTAGGTTGAGTCAAGCCGTTTGATCAATCGCACTACTAGAACCATGCGATCTACGTGAAAAAAAAAAGAGAAAAAAAATGTTAAAAGTGTGTTTCGTAAGAGTTGAGTTTTTTTTTAAAGCTTAATACGGACGATAAAGTATTACTCACGTGTCTTTCGTCGGTCGAACTGAGGCCTGCAACAGAGAAAAACAAAACACATTTGGTTAAAGTCAATTCGTTTTCGGAGCAAAATATTTTTTTTTATAGTAGCACAGAAGCTGATCTGTCACCAGAACGAGAATAAAAAAAAAAAATCTTTTGCAAATCCCGTCTGCGACAAAAGCACGCAGGTATAACGTTGAAAGAGAACTGGTGGGAGATAAAAACTCACGAGCTGAGAGTCGGTGTACGTATACATAAACGATCTCCCCATGCATATTCATGGGCGCTTTTGCCTCAAAAATCGCGCTCGCGTGTTTTACACGACGCTGCGCAAACACACTCGAGCTTCTCCCTCGCCTCGAGGGCGGAATTTATACCTACCCCCTACAGCTTTGGAAAAAAATTTCACCCGAGCGCTCTGTAGTCACCTCGGCTTTCGTTTGTTGGTGCTCGAGTGGTTTTTTTTTTTTTTTTTTTGTTTTTTTTCACCAGGAGATCAAACGTAGCGCTTATGAAGCTCCGGATGAGTATTTTTTTTTTTTTAAAGAGGCAAAATGAAAATTACGCACGCCCACTGCTCCAAATTATTGTGATGAAAAAAAAAAAAAAAGGGTTGTAAGTTCGTAACGAAAAGAGTAGCAACTACCATACGCGTTGAATTTCAAAGCAATGAGAAATAAAAATTCCAAAATTAAAGCAAACTTTAATTGCACTACGGAAAGCTCATCGAAACACGCCTACCTCGTTTTTCCTCCATCACAGCGAGTTACACGATGCACGATTTCAATTTCGATCGTCAAACAGCGGCGCCCTTGCACATTATACGCTTTGGCGCTGCCGTGCGGGCGATTCAATCAAATGGCCCGACAGCTCCATAGATTCCCGGGACTCGGAGGAAAATGAAGGGGAAAATGTACGCGGAAAAAGCTCAGGCGTACGCGAACAAGCACCAAAGAGAAAGGAAAAATCGGTTATTTGCACCGTACCTCTCCGATCCGAAGGGGAGAAAAAGAAATTCCCGCTCAAAGCTCGCAATCTGAAAATTCCATTTTACCCGTACCGATACGCGTGTGGACGTATACATATACGTGAGTAGAGAAAGAGGAGTTGTCCTTTTGCCCGGTGAACGATATATGGGTTAAAAAGCGCGGCAGGATGGGAGGTAGAAAAAAAAAAAACAGCAGCGAGAGAGGGAGGGGGCTCGAAAAATACGATTCTCCCGTGCGGAAGGAGGGAAAGCGCGAGTGGAATGTAAATGCGCGTGGCGCCGCAGCAGTGGTCCCGGAGATCGGGCGGACGAGATTACCCGGTACGTGTGTGCATGCATACGTATATGTGTATCGCCGGGGATATGGGCAGGGTAGAGCCCGACTAATTCACCCTCATCGCTTGATGGAAAAAAAAAAAAAAAAACGAACGGACGGGTGGACAGAAAACACGGGAATGAAAATAAAAAAAGAGGAGAGTCCAAGGGATGGGGGTGAGGCTGTCTCAATTATTTTTATGCGTCTGCCCTGCCCAGAGCAGTACGCCGAACTGTTTCGCGAGCACGGGTCCACCCTCACCTCGTAAACACGCGTGCGTCCAAGCTCACTGCGTTAAATGCAAAAATTGCAAACGATAGAGAAAAGTCGAGGATTATTGCGAGTTCTTTATGCGATGAGGGAATTTGAATTATTTCTTCCGGTGCGAGCACGTATACGCAAGTGCGCGGGTCTATGTGGGGGATGTTGTCGAATCGTTGAATTTCAGGGCCAAAAGATGCGAGGGGTGAAAAAAAAAAAAAAAAAAAACGTTAATAAATACAAACTTTTTGTTTCGCGCTAAACAGGTATAAGTGGTGTCTGTTGGTCACGAGGGTATTTCTATCGCGCACCTCGGGAGAGCTAGATTTTCACGCGACAAAGAAACCAACATAATACCGTGCACAAAAAAAAAAAAAAAAAAAAAAAAAAGTAGCAAAAACTCACCTCCGTTGCTCTTTGCGTCGTCGGGCTGGCTGTGGCGTTGCATCTCGGGTTTGCTGAGCATAGACAGTGGGTGCGAGCTCGCGCTCCCGGGCGTCGGTGGAGCACCCGGAAGCCCCAAGCCGAGAAGAGCGGCCGACGCTGACGTCGGTACTTGAAGGCCACCTGATGGCCCCAGGGGTGGTAAACCCGGAAGCGACGCGTGAGGGTTCATCGCCGCTCCCGGGGGTAGCTGCTGCACTCGCATCTGCTGGAGCAGACCCGGAATATCTGGACGCTGTTGCTGGAAAGTGGATAGTTTTTCAATTTGTCTTGTTTTTTACCCCCCATTTGCGTTCTCGCGAATACGCGTTGGTTAAAATAATGTAGTATGCCATTTATCAAGACACATACCGACTTGTAATTACTTTCTTTTTTCGCGTTTTTTCAAGTTAGTCCAAAAACGCGTCGAGTACAAAAAAAAAAAAAAAAAAAAAACTGACTCGAAAATGCTGCATACGTATACGTGTACGTCACAGAGCCGAGATTTCCCGAACCGCGCATTCGTCTCTCCTTTCGCGTTGTCAGTGATGAAAACGAAGAGGATTCTTCGGAAGCGAGTGCAAGCAAACACATACTGCACATATATATGTATAAATGTAAGCTCGTGAGTTTGTAAATCATTCAAATACCGGACCCACACGCACGCTGGAGTCGCTGCGTCTGGAATACCTAATGGAGCTGCAGTGCCGATGTATGCAATCCAGAGGAGGAAGAGCGAGCGAAGGTAGAAAAAGATGGAAATGCGCTCCGAGTTGTGTGTGTGTGTGCAAAAGAAGGAGAAGTTTCAGCGGACTCGCAATCGCTCGTCTTTTTTTTTTTTTTTTTTTTTCCTCCACTCGGCAACGTATTCCGACGTGCAAATCGAGGGCTCTCCTCCTTTGTGCCGTACAGACACGTGCTAATTATGCATAATGTACGCTACAGTCACTCCCGAGAAAGTACTTTTTCAACACCCACTTTCCATCCCATTCTCGCGGTAAAGTCCGTACTCTCCAAATATTTCGTTACATTCCATAAATAGGATGATACACTCGTAGAGGTACATACACGCGTCGCCGAGGTGAGCTTTTCATGGTAATTTATTCTTTTATCGCGCTTTAGTTTGCACAACGTTATACACGCTCACCTCTTTTCGCGCTACACGTATATGCTCGTATTGTTTCCGAAAATACCAAATGTTTATTCATCCACGGTAATACCCTCGCTTTAAATACGAGGCAGCTGCCGACCTCGATATTCATTCGACTCTCCTCAAATGGGATACTTTGCACCTTCGATCATCATACGTGTATTTTTGCACGCCACTGTACGCGTGCATCCATTGCACGCGCGTGTAAATTAGTTTCGAGCTCGTTAAACCGCGTCCACGACGAAGCGACGCCGCACGAAACTCGAGATGACGCATCTTCCGTCCGATATGATTTCCAGCTACAGTAGCTTGCCTAAAAATAGATCATGAACTGTCGAGCCGTAATCCGTGTATACAGTGGCTGTTTGGAAAGGGGACGCGCGCAGTAGGGGATGGAAAAAACGAAGCCTCGTAAATTATCCACGCGCCGCCCCTAATCTGTTACGAACGACCTCAGAGAGTCGCTGTTGTTCCCTTTCTCATTCCCGACAACTTTGTCATCCGTGCGTGCGTGTGTGTATGTATACCCGTGTACGCCCATAGTAGGTATATGAAAAAAAAAAAAAAAAAAAATGTAAAAGCAGTGACTGCAACGTAAAAGCGGGAGAAAATCAACGTCGACGCTTACGCTGTAGACAAACGCGGGGAGATGGGAGACACCCCTGTGTACAATGTATACATCGGTGAAAGCACCGAGTAGCGGGTACGATGCGTATATATATAGAAGCGTAGATTGACAATCGTCGATTCGCCGAGGCGTGAAACCCCTCGCGCCCGAGACGCAGCGCACTCGACGGGTGTTTTTCGTCTCCCTCCCCTTTTTTCCACCCCGAAATCATCCCCTACGCATACACGCACGTATCACGTGTACAACGCTTGCCAAACGAAAGATACGACTGATGTGGCTGCGTGACAAACGATAAACTCGTTATTATGCGCGAGAGCGCGCGCTCGTGTGTGTATAATATACCGATGGGTTCTCGTACAACGTGCATCTCTTTCCTTACATCGGGGACTTCACTTGGCTCTGTTTTTAGGTATATATGTGTTACCGTGCCAAGTCCAGGGGTGGTCTCTTTGCGTATATGTACCGTTGGCCCACTCCTCCCCCTATTGTGTGTCGCAGCGTGACTGTACGGCCATATACGTACTTATTGTAACGCCGGGGGTTTTATTGGGTGGAAGGAACGAGTGGGTTAAGTTTAATTTTTTTTTTTTTTTTTTTTCCTCGATTTGAGAGCTCGCTCGAGCGAACACTGTTGATGGTAGAACATGTTTTCAAGGACCATAGTACTCGAAACGCGAAACGCTAGAAAAGCGAGCACAATACCCTAATGTAATAGGGCAACAGCAAAGCTACATTGAATGTCCAAATCTGCATATTCTGACTCATCTTGAGGAATACGAGTTTTTATTGATTTTTTTTTCTCTCCTACAAATACCCTTCACGTATTTTCTGGAAATCGAAAATTGGTGATGCAATGAGACAGTGTGGACGCAGCTATCGTGGTTTCAGTGTCCTAAATAGTTAAGCACCATCGTCACGTGAGTTCAAACCTGTTCTATAAAAAAAAAAAAAAAAAAAAAAAAAAAAAAANAAAAAAAAAAAAAAAAAAAAAAAAAAAAAAAAAAAAAAAAACCCACGCCATACCAACACTCTAAGAGTAAACTTCAACTACAAGAACCATACAAAGTATTACCTGTATTACAGTTGACAGGCCGCCAAGCACAAATGACTCCCGATTGTTTGACGCGCTATACCTTACTGCAAGATCGTAACATACACAATGTCACGTAGAACGCTCATAATTCGCTCTCAGCGCACTGCTAATACTCGCATACATACGCAGCTTTTATTATTACACGCGCTCTCGCTGCTCGCATTAGACGGGAAATCGGGCTCTGTATTATTCTCTTGTGGGGTTGGGGAAGGGGAAGAGACACCCTACGCTATTTTTTCAGCTCCCTGTGTATACACCGCTACTCCTCTGATGTTCCTTTTTTTGAGGAGGGGGGGGAAGTTGTCTAGCCATGCGTGCCTTCCTTCCCTCCGTGCACGGGGTGCGTGAGGGGGACACACAATTGGCAGGGGGAAACGTGTGAGCGCATAATACGCACCTTTACCCACTGCCGTTGCAACTTTCTCTCTTTCTCCGCGTAATTTATCGTAATAGCCCTCCTTTTCTCGCATTTAGTCCTGTTAGAGGACCCACTTTTTGAAACGGGTGCTGTAGTCAGAAACTATCCATACATACGTATTATATAGGAACAATTTTATTACACTATATCACGCAGAGTCCCGGTAATCGAATCATAAACGAACCGTAGGAGAGAGAGAGAGAGAGAGAGAGAGGTGCGGATGATGGAAGGAAAACAGACAATCGACGAGCTGCGTGGCAAAACCCTTTCTTTTTCAATGCACCCAAACTTATTTTTCCCCTTCCAATGCGTCAGCGCTCTCTCACAATATTATCCCCTTTCCCCCCTTCTTACTCCACTCTTCGGTATAATATACAATGATGTACGTACATATATAAGTATTCATGCGAGCATCTGTTTCTCATTCACAGCTTTTATAAATAAGTGTACGTGTTGTGTGTCCACAGAAACCGAGCCGTGAAAAATTATCCTCGCCTTTCCCGCGGCCAGACCGGAGATTCATGGATGGAAAACAAACAGGCTGTCGTTCTCTTGACGTATGGTAAGTACACTTGCTGTATGGATTTACGCGTTAAAAAAAAAACGTAGTAGTCCCCAAACGGGACGCTGAGAACACCGGTGGATGACCTTATGGGAGGGTATGCGCGACGACGGCGATGCAGAGAAAAAAACGCGAGTCGCGCCCCGGATGTGCGTAAGATCGTTCGCGCCGAATGGAGAATAATCGGCCGAGCGAGGGAACGAAGGGGGATGAAGGTAATCGCGACAATGGCAGGGTCGTGCCGGCTTGTTGTGCACTTGTGAGTGAACAGGCATACGAGTCCCTTTCCCCATCCCTCTGATGATCGTTCAAATGTATCGTATATGTATGTATACACTTTTATTGTACTCGATGCGGGCTGGCAATGAGCCCACAGCACGGTGCGAAAGCAACCGATTAGCCCGACCTTTGAAGGAATTGTAATTCAGGCTTGAGGAATTAATTAGCCGTCAGGGACTTTTTTCTCTTTTTTTTTTTTCTTTCCCACTGAAATACGAGGTGGCAACTCGATACAACTCGATCGTGCGCACAGCTGCATGAATACCGGGGAAGTGTATGTTATTATTGGGCACAATGAATCGGGTCGCACAAACACCGAGGATGAGAGAAGGAAGGAGGCAAGTTTGGAAGAGGTAAACTCAAACACCATCTCTCTCTCTCTCTCTGTCTTCGCAGTAGTCGGTTCAGCGTTATTAAACGAAATATTGATTCAAGTCCTTGTTTACCAATGTAATGCATATTCATGGGCTGGCGTGGCTCAACTATACTTCCCCTTTTCGGTAAACCTACCCCTCGTTGTTGTTCCTCCTCCGCGCTACTGCGCTTGGATCCGCTAGTTTCTGTCTCCGAAGGTTACACACACCAACAACCCTGTTCGTGTTATACCCTATACTCTGCACCGTATAGTTCTACACCACCTACTACCCGTACAAAATAGGTTCTTATGATTTTTCGACACAAGCTTAAGTATACTTCTTTTTTTTTTCGTCACTCGCCGCACGAATCACTAATTCATCAGAGTCTCGTTTAATCGGCCGGGGGCGTATTCAGGTAGCATCACACGGCTCAGAGGAGCACATTAAGTCGACGCACACGCCGGTAGTCACGTTCGGGACAACGTCTGGCACGTGCATATACAATATCCAATAAGTAAAAATCCTACCCGCGGAAGGGCAAACTTCACGCAATCAGCTCTCGTTGTATCGATAATCGATTGCGATCACTGGCAACGATGTAGCTGTATTCGCGTGTACACGACAAAAAAAAAACAGACGGACGGTCATTCAAAGTCCTCGACGAGGAGCACGTTATAAGCATCAGCTTCAACCCGATCGCCTGATTTGCCCTTCGTCTGGCTCCCCTTGACGCTCGACTCTCGATCGAGCCAACAACACAATTATATCATCCACCCCCTTCCATTGGGCCACGCGTTCGGCTAACGTACCGCTCCCCTGACTCCATATACGCGGCATCCACTGCCCGTGTATACCTCGGTATACATGAGCATAATGCGCAACACGTGTAGGTATATAGCAGCACTGGTATAGGAGCGCGTAATCCCCCGGTTGGGCTATATAATGCCCGCGCGCGTGCTTGCCGAGTGCCGTCTTACACAAGTATTGTATATATATATACCTACACAGCTGTGCCGTGTAAGCTCGGCTGATACGCACGGGGGGGTATTATATACAAGGTACAGCTTTTGGGACGAGTAAACTCGCTCTGGTTGTTTATGTTTCGTATACGTTAAGTGAAAAGTAGGAGGGGACTTTGGGGGTAGGTTTGAGTTTAATCGTCGAGGGGGTGCGAATTCGGGGGCTCGGCTGATGATTCATCATCCCAAATTCACGAACAACCTGTTCTCCGGCTGTATACGTATCAGCTCTAAACGCGGTTTGGCAAAATCGGCCGAAAATATATATAACCCCGACGTTTCAATTCATCGCGACCGCGCGCCAAAGCAGACGCGGATCATCCATCTCGAGCACGCGGCAGAGATACAACACGATGAACGCATAGAGCTCATCCGGTGGGGTGTATTATATATACACGCCGCGCGGAAACTCGAGCCTGACGGCTATCAAAACGCCGTCAAGGCTCTCTCTCTCTCTCTCACGGGAGTGTAAGATCTTTCGAGCGCGGCTGAAGCCTATGTGGTAGGTATTTATAACTCGCGTATACGTGGGTGGATGCGGTCGCGTTAATTCGCCTGACGGGAAGCCGACACCTTGGCAGCCGACATTGTGAGAGGGTCTACTTGTACGCAAGACCATGCAATGCATATGTATAAATATATAGGGAGGGAAAGAGAGAGGACGCATAGTGTGCACGCCTCTTAATAGAGTCATTAGACGCGGTGCGAGGATCTTACGGACGGGACGAGCAGGAGATTGGCCGCGATATTGTTTTTACTCGGGTCGCGTGGGAAATTGTTTTCCGGAGACTGATTGGCTTGATTGCGGTGCCGCTGCTGTGCGTGCGGGTCTACTTTATGAGCGACGACTGAAATTTGCCCAATTATCGTTGCGCCCGACTTGCTGTTGTACGCAAGCTAAAAACGGAAGGTGAGCGCGGGTGTGAGTTCTTAAGACTGTGCATGTATCTTCGATGTTCACCGATTGATTGTCGTTATTGAGAGATACGTGTGAATCGTACACTTGATGGCTCTTTTATTGCACCACAATGTGAGAATACAAAGAAAAAAGAAAAAAAAAAAATAGTTTCCGTACCTACGACCAAGGCCGCGTTCCCTCGTATCTTCTTTCTTATTTACAACAATCAAAATCGATCGCGACGACGTGTATTATTTAACGCATACGTTCATTATGGGCGCACGTGTGAGTGTGTATAATTAATCGGATTGGCTTGCCGTGTCTATGTAACATACTACACGTGTAATTAGATCCACGCGGTGACGTCGTGCAATTTTTATCCTCCGTTGCACGGGTGATGGAAAAACACAAGCGGGTATACCTATTTTGTATCGTAATACAATGTTTCCACGCGTATGTGATAACCGTGTGGTATTTTGATTACTGTTTCAACCGACAAAGTTAATTGCACGTGCACCCTTTTTTTCACTCGCTATACGTTTTCAATTTCTGTGTAAAGGTATATATACATTCATGTTTATTTACGCAACCCCTGGTTATTGAAAAATAAATGCGAGCGCGAACAGTGTTTAATTAACGGGAGATAACATCGATGGCAAACCGAGCAGTCGCTACGCTTTAAAAAAAAAAAAAAAAAATGTTCATCGATGGAAAAAACTAATTGAAAAAAAAAAAAGAGCGCTGGTACGCTGAACCGCAAACTCGCGCCGAAAGTATAATACAATATTGCATTATCAGCAAACGCGTTGGCTCGCCGGGCGCGTGTACAGTAAAATTCATTGCTCGCGAACGTATGTGCATCCAAAAGGCTCGCGTTATCGCACACACGTGCGTGTATACGTAATGTACGTGTATGCGAGAGGTTATAATATCTGGATACTCGATCGCGCGGATTTTATAACGCAACGGGGCGAGCCTCCCGCGTGTTAAATTCTTCCCCGGAATCGGGCACGTAAATAAATAAATCCCCCCCCTACGCACTGGGTGTGAGCTCGCGCTTCGCGTATATGGTAACGCGATATGCTCCGTCGGGTGTGCTTGGATGCAAGAGTTTTTTTTTTTTTTTTTTTTTTTTTCTCCATGTACCCACCCATCGATTATTTTCGTGAGACTTCACTTCGTTTTGTATTCACTTGAGGCTCTGGCATTGAATTGTTGGAAAATATATGTAAAACTGGTTTCATAAATCTTGATTAGAGCAACTTCACGAGTCACCTATCCGATTCTGTAAGTTAAAATGATCGGGGGTCCCCCTCGAAATACCGGACTAGACGGCAAAATCAAGATCGACGAACAAGCCCATCGATACGCAGCCACGCCCATAATAATCATACTTAATCCGCACGAAGTGAGTGTCTAATAGAGACGTGTACATTATATCTATATACAACAAAAGCGAGGAGTAAAAGACGAAGGAAGCGAGACGGAACGGTAAGTATTCCCGTCGCGTCTGTCGGCGGCTCGGAACTCAATTATGCACAAGCGAGAGAGAGGAGCGACGCGCGCGAATGCCAATTCCGCGCCGTACCTATCCCTGGCTGTACTCCGCTCGTACGTATATAGACTGCGAAATAAGGCAGGAAAATGAGCGAGAGACCCGAGACTTATACCGATGAAGCGAATTATAAATAATGGTATACGCGTACACATACATTGTACGGGTAATGATAGAACGCGCGAATGGATTTTAGATGTTGGTTTATTATTATTTTTTTTTCTTTCGTGTCGAGGATATACTTGTGTCTTTATTGTTGTGCGGCTCTTTCTAGCGTTTTACGGTAATAATATGGGTACAGGCTGGAATTTGACTGCTCGGCGTTAGACATGGATCGTTTGACTGCACCGCCGTACCAAAGCGCGTAATATCAGGGCTGTGAAAGTAGGTTACAAAACACCGTGTATGCATGCATTATACAAAATAACGTGTCCGTAGACGAAGCTTTTTACGAGCTTTTAACGGCGCTTTAATTTACCACCGGCCATGTGTGTCCTGTGCGCGTTTAACGGCTCCGAGCTATAAACAATGTCGTAATTTTAATTACGCGCGCTCGAGCTTTGATGATGATGGTATATTATACGTGTGCACGTATATTTATATACCGTACGGGAGATTATCGATTCGAAAGTTTGTGCTAAGCCGATGAATTATTTAGCGGCCGGAGCGAGGAAGAAAAAGACCTCCGTCGCTGGAGTCGTCGACCCCTTGGTTTATTAATTATAATCGAATAGTTATGAGCTCCCATTGATTATTGGTGACGGGCACCGATGAGACTGACCGAAATAATTCTCGCGCTAATGATTGACGATTTTAAGAGCGTACGGTTTAACAGGATGCCACCCGAGGCTCGAGGTTTTGAAAATTCATTCGCGAAGGACCGGAAAGCACGCGGTGAATCTTTTTTTAGTTCCGCCAACAGCCATCATAATATCTGGGTGTGTTTGTTCACGAAAGTGGTATTTTCGGGTAATGGATACGTCCGCTTTTCGCGTCTCGAGTGAATGTATTATTCCTCAGAGTTGGCTTTTTTGGGTACAGATGACAAAATACGTATAATGTTTCTTTTTTTTTTTTTTTCAGTTCTGAGGTTTTTTTTTTTTTTTTTTTTTTTTTTATTAGCGGATACAGAAAGTCAATAAAGTTGGTGGTTAAATTTCAAATCGGTAAATGTCTCAATGTACGTGGCAATTTTGATGAAAAAAACACATTGATTTTTACCAACACATGTTTATAATGTATTTTTAAACGAGAAAAATCGTGTGATTATCTTCAAAACTCACCCCAACGATCGAATTGAGCTCCGTCATTGTGACCTGTTTCGCTCTGTCGACGGCGGTGGCAACCTGCTGCTGGTGCTCTTGAGACAGGAACGGCAGTATTTGTGCGATGATGGCGTTCAGTCGTTTCGATATTTCCGTCTGGAAAAACAAACCCAATGGATGCATTTTTTATAGTTAAGGGGGATAAACTGTTGAAAATAAAAAATACGGTTAAAAAAAAGAAGAAAAAAAATAGGTGGAACCAGTTAAACATGAAATAATTTTGTAAATCTCTGAACGAAATATTCTATTACAGGTAAAGACCTTAAATCATTTGAGCTTTGTCGATTCGCCAAAGTAAACGTAAAACGTACACACGTTTCTTTGAAATCGTGAAAATTTACTCTCTCTCACACACATATACTTATAACGCGAGTGAAAACAAACAACGATCGATCAACCATCACCGCAAAAAAATGGAATCATAAAACTCTTTGACTGAGGGGCTATAGCTCGCGAACACGTTTCCATAAGTATTTTTCCAGCGTCGCAGTCACTGCTTTGACGTCAGAGAGGGGATATAAGCTCAGGGCACTTCCGGCGCTCGAGTCGATAAACATAATACGTGAGCTGCGTTTGATGATCGATGATAAATGTATAGTGGTCGGACGTTGATGGTATAGACGAACCGTGGATGCATAAATATATCATCACCATTTCATGTATGTTGCATGTGTCAACAGCACCGGAGGGTATACGTGCAGTGCGAGGTGAGACCGAGAGCTATATGTTAATATATACCTATGTGTGGATATAATATACGTCATAATGTTACACGAACAGTGGCTATGAGCTGATGTGCTTATTAAAAGTAATAGTGGAAAAAGCGACAAAAGAGTTACTATAAATGGTTTAAAAAAGATTCGATAGTTGTTTGGTTAGTTGTTGGGTATACTTTTGAAACCTTGCTCCAGTTGAACGGTAGTTTTTGTGTGGTTCGTGTCCAATAAAAGCGACTTTAAATGTTGAGTTTTATTTCATCTCCGCGTTTGCTTACGGTTGGTAGTTTTTGTACTCGTATTTTATTTTTCAAATAATAAAAAGGGCGTTTTTATTAGCTCTTGGTGAGCAAAGATATTCTATTCTAGAATAAATTGCGCAAAGCTTATAAAAAGTACGTACAATATAATTAGGTTGTGTTATGAAACCATAAAGTAGAAGCAAATAATGTTTTTTCAGTTTATTATGTAATATCAGTTGAAAACCTCAATGTCAACAAAAATAATGGGACCATGTGTATAGGCTTTGTCTTAATTTCGTTTGAAGCGGATGGTAAAAATAATTTTGTTCCAAGAGTGGTATTCGATATTTAAATAAAAGATCATCCGCCTGTTATTATTGCGAAAGACGTGTAATACAATGTATACAAACGATGAGTAACGATCACGCGTGTGTATCCGCCTGTCAGCGAAACAATCTTCTATATTTTCACGCGCTTGTACGCACCAACTCAGCCCGCAAAGCTCCCGCTCTCTCTCTCGTTGGCTAAACTACACATACGCATGACAGGCACGGTCAAAAAGCTCGAGCGAAAATACAAAAAGCCCCCCCTCGCTTGCACAAAAACACACGTCCGCCCAACGCGTTATAGCAGAGTGCGGAGAACCTCTTTGACGACGCGTCCCAAATTCTCGACGCCCGCCATCAGTATAGTGAGAGAAAACTACAGCTCGTTTATTTAACAATAACATTACATGTACGCGTGCACGTGCATCAGAATGGCGTATTTGGCCATACACCGATACCGATTGGGATTCTAATTCTCGATGTACCCACTGTCTATTACATCCTCGGATGAGGCTTTAAAATTACCAGGGGGAATTAACGGCACGTATCGGTACGTCAGCCGAGACGTAAACAGATTAGTTTTATTTTTCTTCCACGGGGTATCGTCTGAAAATAGTACTACGAAGCTGAGGAAATATCCTAAAGTTTCACCGATTTCCGCGTACATTCGCACGTCAGCAGGTGGATTGCAAAAAAAAACATCCTCCATAATTATACGGACCTTATTTTAGTATACGTGTAATATGGTATGCAGTCGTCGGATGTACGTGAGCGCTTATCGCATGTGATGTACGACTAAAAAAGTATTTCATCGTGAAGTGGGTAAGCTTGTGTTATTAAGTGATCCGCTTGCAGAGGATGGGGAAAAAAAACGAGAACGGGAGTAAGTAAGTACACCCACACTCGTGTCGTTTCGGAAAAAAAAAAAAAAAAAAAAAAACTTAAGGGATTGTGCGTCTGAACACAAACATCCACACACTCTGGCGCGCACATGTATACACAAACTCGATCTTCTTATTTTGGTATTAGAGTGCGTGGGATGAGTCAGGAATGGAGCGTATACCGGGGGGAGGCACAGTGTTTGCTTTCTGCCGCGGGGGAGGCACTAAAACCGCGTGTCAACATGTTAACTCCTCCTTTGCTGCTCCGTCTTTTTCTTTTTCTTTTTTTTTCTCCCCCTTCACGCGCCAATTTTATCTGGTTTTTTGCCCCCTCTGGTCTCCTCGTAAGTGCGTACGCGCAAAGAACATGATGCCAGCGTCGAGCCGACAAGTGTAGGACTGACGCTCGGATCGTGTTTCTTTCTTTCTTTCTTTCTTTCTCTCTCATCGCTCTTAAATACCGACGACTTGTTAACAATCTCAATTCAACTCGGCCCTGTGGTGTGGAATTTTTTTTTTTTTTTTCTGTTTTTTCCTTTTGGTAGTACAAGCACGCGTTTGGGACTTTACAGCGTTTGCCGATGCTCGTCCCATCCCATCATAAATAAGTATATATTTTTGTTTGATTGTGTTTGCCTACCCCCTGATCGACGTAAATTAAATCTTTCTCTCGCGATTATTTCGGATTGCGTTTAAAAATAAATCGCTTCGAGTACGCAAAAACGTTTGGCTGCTGTATCCACTGGAGCGAGATAATTTATTTATTTACTTGTTTTAAAGGATATATTTTATACTTGAGTATTTTTATTCTCGGTTGCCGATAAAAAGAAGAAAAAATAATGAATCATACTTTGTCTATACAGTTTACGATTCGATGCGATTGAAAATTAATTAATATTGAGTAATCAAAACGATGATACGTAAAATAAATATTTGCGAGGATTCGCTAAAAGTTATTTCAATTCGAACGGGCTTTATCTTTCGTGTATCATCCATTGTTTTTTTATTCTTCTTCGATAATCATTTTCTCCATGAAGTACGGCATTTATTATTAATCTGCACGAATTTGGATAATCACGCAACTCCGCATAATAGCGTGTTTAACGAGTAAACGCGAAACCGACAGCAACGATTATTGCGGCATTTATTTACTCAGTCTTTCGCTCATCCGCGGGCTTCGCGCTAAATTCACGCGATGAAAGAACCGTCTTGGCGCGTCTGAAAATTTTTCACGCCCGTTTCAATTTACCGAGCAAACAAAGCGTTTTTGTATTATTCCAAGCGTGTATTGTACGATTCACGTGCACGACAAAAGACAACTTTCGAGCTCAATCGGGTATGCAAACAATAACATAACATACACCACATTTATATGTTGGAGCAGGCATACTTTTTCTTCTCTTATCGCCTTTTTTTGTTAAACAAACCCAAATCGAATGCAGAAAATTGGGCGATTCGACGATAAATTATCCTCGCATCGTTTTAATGCTCGGGGAAAACAAAAAAATCAACAATTCTCAATTTTTGCCCTGATAAGCTTTAAATTCGCGCAAAACCGACAAACAGCTTCGTGTACAGCCCCGCAAGTTACCCTATATCTTTGGTTCATCAAAAGTTGAAGAACAGCTAGGGAAGACCAGTAGGAAGGTACCCGTACAAGAGCCCGACAATCGAGACGAGGAGGCTCCGAATGTTTGCTCTGCTGCGTCGTCTTCCTTCGGCTCACTCGAAACGCTCAAATACCTTAGGCAAACATTTTCAGTGGGAGAGGGGCTATATATATATTAGACTTATGAGCTGTAGCACGAAAAAATCGTGCCTTACGTGTGATATGGAAGAAAGGAGCTGATTTTTTTTCTAGAGACTTTTCGTGTTCGTCCATTTTTCAACGTCTTCTCGTCACTATGAATAAATCTCGATTCCTCGACTTTACAGTAATCGCGAAGCATCCGATAAAAAGGACTGGCGATCAAAATAAATCATCGTGCTTGGGTTTTCCGACACGCCGAAATCTACCCGAAAAACACGCGCTTTCCCGAGTATTTCCGAACCTCGAGTCAGCTGTCAACGGTTATTTGGGCTCGTCCCGTCTCCCACCAAGAGCAGAAGAAGAAGAAGAGCTTAAAATACAAGACTCGTGTATTTTTCAACACACATCCAAACACGCAGCTGTACAATAAAACCATTGATTCGGCGCGTACGAGTATGCCCCTAAAAAAAAAAAAAAAAAAATAGCCCACAATAAAACACCCGAGCCGTTGATTTTCCCCGCTAAGCGCACACTTTACGAGTCGTCATTCGTGACCCGAGGCCTTGTCGTTTCTTTATCTTCAAGTAGGAATAAGGCGCTCGTTCTTCTTCTTCTCTTTTTTTTTTTTTTTTTTTTTTTCCCTTCCAACAACGAACAAGCCAACACGCACGTGTTTTTTCGACGGCCCCATGCCGAAGAGGAAGAAAACGAGAGAAGGGATGTAGAGAGAGGAGAACGCCTCCCGTGTGCCGTGTAATAATATATTTCTGTCCCGGGCCATTTGCGCCCGGCGAGATGAGAGGGAGGGAGGGGGACGTAAAAAAAGCAAACAGAAACCGAAAATACACGGCGCGCCGGGCAATTTGGGCGTAACTCGGATTCCGCTTCGACGCCGCGGGCTACGCGGTGGGCTCACTCACGGTAGGTTGTGTTTTTCGGCGCTGCCTCTCTTTCTTTTTTTCTTTTTCTTTTTTTTTTTTTTTTCACGCGATCGTGAGAATTTTCGTCCGAACGATAAATAATCTAGTACGAAAATCGATGCTCCCCTCGAGTTCCTGTTTCGTTTGACACATTTTTGTGTATCATAATGATACACATTTGGTTTCGTTTCGACGCTTGACGACCCCCTCCGACTATACTAATAGCCACGTGTCTCCCTGACGAATCAAAGCGCAAAGTCAAATGAAATTATCATAATGACTCGTTAAAAAGCCACCGAGTGCTTTTACTGTCCATAGCACTGTCAAAGGCAGCAACCAAGTGACGAGAGGGGGTGGGCGTATATAATTACGATTGCGCTTCGAAACGATGTTTTTATACGCGCGTTTAATATTTTAGGAGCTATTCTAATTGGAGTAGGCCTAAGTGGCAGGTGTGTGTGCGTATGTAAAGGTACGTGGGTGCCAGGCGTCGCTCGCCGCGCCCATTACTCGCGAGGAGAACTATACATACGCCGGGTTGGTCGTCAAAGTCATTAAGCTCGTGTACAACGCGCTATTCGCCGTCTTGAGAGCAAAGATTACACTTGGAACGAGTGATGGAGATTTCGCTGAGTGGACATGAGGGGAGCCAGGGATCTTACGCACTTAACGAGAGGCTCGGAAAATAATATCTCGTGATGCAGGAGGGGGGCTTTGATTTTTGTTTTTCTTGTTTTTTTTACCCATACTCTTGAGCTTGTTTTTCTCCCTTCGTTTTCTGGTGAGTGTCGAGTGTTTTTTCTTTTTTTTTCTCGAAAACTATATTTACGAACACGCTCTGATTCGAATTTTTCTTTATTTTTCGACTGTTTATTTATATTTCACGAATGAAACCGCGAAGGAAAGCAAATACATGATTCCACGACGGCTGATGAAAAATGTTTGAAAAACACTTAGCCACGGTATTGTTTACTTTTTCATTTCTCAACTCTTACAGTTTAATCGGTTCTTCGTCGTTATTATTATCGAGAAAAATAAGCACTTTTGTTTACAAACTCTCGTAATACTGTGTTTTACATCAATGGATGGACAAACAATCAATCGTACAGCTCGTCATTTCTGTCGAGCAAACTTTGCTTCGCAATCGTATTCATAAACACCTTGACATTCGCGACACATGTAGTTAAATACATAAAATATAATTACCTGTTTGTGCATCTCGACGTTCAGACCGTATGACATCTCGTAATACTGAAACAGAGAGAAAAAACAAATCAGATAGCAATAATTTTTTATCCCACTAAAATACAATACAGCGAAACGTAACCCAAACAAAAAAAAAGACTCGTCGAAATCGCTGTAATGAAACGACAACAGTATAATACAACGTAGCATCAACGGGCCAAAAGTTACACGAAGGAAAGTTGATTTAACGGGCCATTAGTCCGGTAATAACCCTCCTGTTCTCCACTCGAATAAGTTGCGTTACACTTGCGACGAGAGCTTGCACTGTGCACGGGCTCTGCATGTAGGTATATATATTACACAGTGCAAGGCACGAGGAGAAAAAGGAAAGGAGGAAATCGAAGATCGAGTTATGACAATTATTCGAGGATAGCAGTACAGGGGCAAGACCGGAGGATCGGTTTCAATTACCGTCCGCCCCTTTTTTTTTTTTTTTTTTTGTTTGCTCCACTCGAGTAAACATGATTAATGGCCCCCTCTCCCGGTCTCGAGTGCTGTGATTGCGCGGAAACACGATTCCTCGCGGGAGGAGCGATGAGTTTTGCATTAGCGATGTAAAATCGATATGGGGGCGGATGGGGTAAATTGAGAGGCGTCTGCCGGTATACTCGCGCAAATTGAGCGGGTGGGGTGAAAAATAATTTCCGCCCCCGCCATTAGCGCCCTCGCTGTTCCCTCCCCTTCGCCTCTCTCTAGTCCGATCGATCGAGCCTTGTTTGCGACCTTCGCCCCGAAATCTTGAGAGCCACGTACACACGAGACGGGGTAAGTGAGTGCTGTTCCCTTTCGACGTGTCTCCCATAAATTACTCAGCTCGCACTAATCGACAATAACACGCGCGCGAGACAATTACTTGGCAGTGGCGCTACTGGGTAAATAAAGCACCATTACCACGAGACACGATGAGGCAAATCACGTTGGCAATTGACGCGGGAGCCTCGAAATTCTCTCTCGAGAGATGACGGTACATTCGTTGTATGCTTACATCAAAAGGGGTTGGGTTATGCACAATCTCTTACTGTATAAATACCGGGTGATCAGATACGCCAAGGCGGCGAACGAGTAATATGGGACGGAGAGGAGCAATCGGGTTTAATCTGCCGGCGTACGATTGTACGGAGAACCCGGGAATCCATTGGCCCCCACGCTCGTCTCCTCTTCTCCGATAAATCTTTGACTCATCCTTGCTCCGTCTGTCTTTGGCGCTGCTACTACCACTTGTGCATATGGGTGTACCAATGATGACGACGCGATGGAGGGCGGAATCGTGATTAATCGCGTTTAAACTAGTCGCCTCTTCGCGTCGATTAAAGCGTGCCACCGCAACGGTTGTATAGCTCGTGCTATCGAGGGGCAAGGGCACAACCACCATCGTCATCGTGGTACATGTTGTGATTAAGCTGGTGATACCCAAGTGGCACGGTAGACCGAGAAATACGTTCAGCTCTTTATTTTTATCGACTTTTTTTATTCATCTATACATTCATAACCGAGCCACTATTAGCTACAATTCGTGTCCTCGATGAGAACAATCATCAGGGGTGAGGATGGAGTTTGAGGTCCAAGAGGACTGAAATCAATGCGTTGGGTAACAATTATACTCGTAAACGTAAAATTCACAGGAAAAATCTTTTTAAAAATGAACGACGACAGTAAGTTGTAGTAAGTAGGTATACTCTGTAGGATTGGGGGAAAAAAAGGCCCATATGTCCCCGGTGTAGGACAAAGGGATCGCGTGAATGCTGCACGGCGTGCAAGCGATTCTATCTCGATTGCCATGCAGTCGTTGCATGAAAAAAAAAAAAAGACACCGATTGAATCGAGAGGTACCGCGGCCGAGAGTTCATGTAATGGCAAACACGAGCACCGGCCCTGTGTGTTTATATACGCGTGTGTATGCAAATACAGGCACGAAGAGCTCATTGTGCAATTACTCCCCCACTCCATCTCTGTATATCTACTGCTCTCCGCGAGAGAATAATAACTGTTGCTGCTCGCCCATTTGGCGAGAAATTCCCATGCACGGAACAGAGAGGGAAAGATATATATATACCGATACACAGTAGCTGCAGCATACTTGTTCGCTCCTCTGTGTGGGTACCCATACACACATATATATATATGTAGGTGCCGGCACGTACGTAAGTAGTGGGACGGTAAAGAGGATGCAATTAATGTTAAAGAGCCCGAGACAAGATGACTATAAGTGCGCTCCGCTGGGTCTGTTACCCATATATACTCGCAATACACATACCGATGCTATACAGGTGCTCGGGTGCTGATTACGGCGCGTAAGTAGGCGCGAAAAACGAAGTCCTTACGGATAAATATGCACAACGCAAGCTGGAAAGGGAAGAGAAATAAAGAATTGGAACGAATGGAGCTGTTTACTGTTGTTTCGGCGCGGAAAACAGAACTCTTTTTTTCCCCAGCAGAGGTATATTACTTATGTAGATTTTCGTCGAGAGAGGGCTCGAATTTCATTGTTTCCCTGTCTCATTTCCAAGGGCGATTGTTCTAAGGCACCGAGGGTGTTTTTCGACGGAGCGATTTCGACGTTGTCGGGTTTTTTCCGTTTCTATTATAAAATTTGTCGAAACTATACTTGGAATGAAATTCGAGTGAAAATCCAATCATACGAGTGTGCATGTAATAGTAAACATAACTGGGGCCAATTAGTCGAATGGAGAGTGAACGTCTCTTACCATAACGTAGTGTCTGTGAGTCTCGAGCCTTTCGGTCGCCAACTTTTCGCACTCCATCTTCATGCTGAAACAGAAAGAAACAAGACGCATGAGAGCCAAGCGGTTGGTATAATATAATGTACACCGTGACACACACGCTTATATATATATACATGCATAAACTTTGCGGCTGGCTCGTCTTCCACGAGCCGTTAAAATATACACTCGCAACCTATATAAGTCGGCCAACCAACTACTCATATACACAGTTGGCTGCTATCCAACTTTTCTGCGCTATATATATACACGTATAAGTGCACATTAAACCGTGACGTCGCTGCGCGGTGGTATAGCTCGTCGCGCGAGAGATTGCCAAGGTATTACACACCTTATACGCGTCGCTGTTTTATTTTGGACTACTCTACACAAAGTTGTGGAACGATGATTATATGCCCGGGGTACCTCTATAAATATACGCGTATAGGCAGCTGCACGCGCCGGTGGACGTGTTGAATTTATAAATGACTCGTGCGAAAGCTTGATTAGCACCACCGGGGCTCTGCGACATCGCGCATGGTATACATACACATCGGAGGTGACGCTTTGCCGCGAAACAACTCGTGCGTGTACATGCGTTGTTGTGCAACCGTGTGTACGTATAAGTACATGGTGGAAAATCATTATGTCGAATGAACGCGTCCGCGAGAGAGACCGCAAAGTCGCGAGTCATTGAAACCTACGGGTCAAATTAGAAACGGCAGACCCGATGAATAATAATACACCTGCGTGTGTCGTAATAATCAATACTCCCCGTATACTTATACGCATGCTGATACGTGTACAAATAAATACGACGTTTAATAATTTTCCACGCGTGTGCATAATATACGTACACCTATGCGAAATTGTCGATAAAATCGCACGTTGGGTGCTTACGATACCACATTTATATACAGTAATGAAATATACGCATCGCCATCGAGGTTTCGATATACGTGTATATAGGTACACTCGGACCTTTTTTATTCTCTTTGGATACGTATATGTATGAAGAAACCCTCTTTCCATCCTGCGTGTATACCCCGACGATACGACCTGCCGGCATATAAATATACTCGAAACAGCGATAAATTGCCTCTGCTCGTCCGATCGAACGCAAAGGGGGAGAGAAAAGAGGTACGGCGTACGATATATAAGTGTATACGCGGAAGAGAGGAGAGGGCTTTGAATATTTGAGACGCGAGAGTTTGCCATACGTATGTACGCGAACAATTTATCCACCCCATTTTCTTACGTTTTTAATGCACCCGCAGTCGTCACTATCCATTATATACCTGTACACCCCCAAGCTCGGGTCTATATGATTATATACGGCCACCTAAAGCCGTACACCTCGTTTTCTTACGGTCTTCTTTTCCTTTCGCTGCACACACGACTCTGCATGTATAATGCTGTTAATAATGTCTGCACACACACACAACTGTTTTCCCTCTTTTCCTCTATCCCTGATACCATACGCCCTATAGCTGTCGTCTATACACCGGTGCTATATTAAAAACCATCCTCCGGCCCGAGGCGTGCTTTTATTATTTACCGCATCGATGCCACGGGCTCATTAAATATACCGTATATATGTATACGTATGGGCTCTGCTGTCGTTTTTTTTTTTAACCCCTCTATGTACTATTATTATTAAGCTAAGCATGCCTGTAATATTTCCTGTTCTTTTAGATATTTTCAATGCCTCATTGCAGACTGGTTATTTCCCTTCAGCATGGAGGAGGGCAATAGTAATCCCAATACCCAAACGGCAGCCAGCGTTAACGCCTGACTCATTTCGTCCCATCAGTATCTTGAGTGCATCCTGCAAACTCCTCGAGGCGTTGGCATACAAACAAATGCTTTCTTTTGTTGAGGATAATTCCCTGCTCCATCCACTTCAGTCAGGATTCCGCAAAAGGACACTTTTTTTCACATTATTTGCTAATGAGCTTCCCGACATCTGTTCTAACGTCAGTACGCACCAATATGCTGACGATTTTTTCATATACGCATCGGGCAGTGTCGAGGAGGTTGGGATGATTGCGGACAGAGTCGGTGCTGTGCTGGATGCGGTCTCTTCCTGGGCAACGGTTAATGGTCTGGTAATTAATTGCAGTAAGACCAAGGCGGTGTGGTTTGCCTCCAGAGCTTACTTGCGCGAGATTCGGGCTTCAGTTGATCCACCTACTCTAATTATGGGCAATGTTCCGCTAGAGTTTTCATCAGAGATTACTGTGCTTGGTGTTGTCCTGGACAGTGAACTTACACTCAGAGCTCATTGCACTGCGGTTTCCAGGAAGTGCTTTGGCACATTATCGTGTCTTCGAAGATGCAGAGATTGTTTGCCGGTGGATACTCGGCTACTGCTTGTCAAGCTGCTAGTTTTTCCTCATCTGGAGTACTGCGCGTCTCTTTTCTTGGGCATCTCTGGTGAAATGATACGCAAGCTTGAACGATGCAAAAACGCTGCACTGCGCTTTGTAGATGGTACGCCCAAGTGGCATCATATCACGCCTGTGTACAAAAAGTACTCGATTCTGAGTCTGGAAGGTAGAATTAAATATGTCACCATTTGTCTACTTGTCTCGGTCATGCGCTATAAGGTCCCGGGGTACCTGGATGTCAACATCAATTTTCGAGCTGCTCGTGCTGAGTACTCTGAAAGGTCGTCCGTATCTGACCTTATAGTTCCCTGGGCCAGAACGGAGTCTTATAGATGCAGCTTTGCGGTGGGAGCGGCGAGATTATGGAATAATCTACCAGTCAGGCTTCGGAAAAAGGCTGCTTCACCCAACTTCAGGATCGACCTCTTGCAATATTTGGAATCAATAGATTTGCGGCTCAATTGAGGGATGTGATATTACAATTAATTATTTTGTTTATTTACTGCACTCCAGTATTGAATTTTATATTATTTTTATTCAAATTTTATGTTAAATTTATCTATACTTTTTTCTTCTCTTATCTTAATTACTAATATGCTTGATTAGACACACAGCTTGAATCTCAAACTATGTAAGCGGGCCTGCGTGCCTACTATTTCCGCCAAATGTAAGGCAATGTATTAAGCATTGGCAATTAAGGACCCTGAGTCCTTAGCCTCAATAAACTATTCAATTCAATTCAATTCAATACTATATCTCCGGAGCGTTGATACGAGCTTATGCACCGATATTTATATAGGATTCGCTTCTCTCGGCCATGGGTGTACGTAGCAAGTGTATTTTTTTTTTTTTTTTTTTTTTTTTTTTTTTTTAATGGAGTGTTTGTAGATAATACATATTATGTACTCTCGTATACGTACGCAGAGTGATATTTCAACGGGAGAAGGTGTGAGTATGTATACCAGTTTGCTTTGAATGTCATTGAGGTTGTTACGGCTTGTCTGACGATCATGAGAACCGGTGGTTACGAATTATCCTCCGTATGGAAAAATAAATGTCAAACGTGCCACTTTTCACGAGAAAATACATACATTATCGCACTCGATGTGAGGCCTCATTGCTTCGAGCACGAAAAATCATCATACGTGTATACATAGCGTTGAAAAAAAAAAAGAGACCACGTACACTCGCCAATTTTGCAAAATACATCAGACTCTCGCGAACAAAAGGCAAACTGCACGAATAAATAACCCGCATCGCCAGATGTATACCTGTACGGCGCCGGCCTCCTTACATTTTTAAGTTCCATCGTACAACCGCTCGCTAACTCGCTCGCTGCCGCTGAGAAAGCGGTTTACACCGACTCGCTGCCTGTGTATAAGGTATAGAGGGATGTATACCTGCTGCACCAAAAGATGAATAAAAAAAAAAAAAGAAGCTATACGTGCAGAGTCCCGGGCTGCTGTGAGCCGCAGTTTTCACGATCACGAGCTCTCTGTGCACTCGTATAAAAACCGAGCGAGCTATACACCACCACCACCGATCTTGACGTTATTACGGTTACCTCTTGCATAAATGTATATAGTTACAAGCGTGTGTATATATATATACACACCAGACCAGAGTACAGAGAAATACCGAATCATATACGTATAATCGCGCGCGAACTTGCGGTTCGCCTACTTCGTTTTATATGCGCGCGACCGCGACCGAGAGCCAGAGAGAGGCCGTAAAAGAGATATGTATATATACATTTGCGCTCGCGCGCGTGACTATTACAGATTTCCCAAAGTGCCGAGGGGCTATTACCGGCCCCGCGAAATTGCGCGCCCCGACCTTCTGTTGTACCTATCATCCCCACCTTACATCTTCTCTCAGCGTGTATATATTTATTGTTATGTACGTGTATACCTGTGTTACCTATCTGTGTGCCGGCCGGTGCGGTTTGAGGAGGCTTTTATAGGTACGTGTGTACAGTGCGCGGGTAATTAGAGACTATATATCCAGCTTTTTCTTTTTTCGTATACATCGAGTGTATTGTTACATACTTTTATGCCACATTCGTTTGTAACGATCGAGAGGTGCGTTGCGCTAATTGTGAAGCTATTGGACGCAAGTGTAAAAAAAAAAGGTTATACTCTCGCGCAAAACATTTCAATCCTAAGTATCAGAGTCGACCGAGTGGCACCGCAAACTCGGCTCTCCGAAAGAAAAAAATGGCCCTCGATGGAAATCAAGGCGCAAAAATATATGTGTATTCGTATATACGATTGCTCGGGAGGCCGTTATACGCGGTTGTTATGGCAAACGTTTACGAGTCGCGCATTAACGAGCTTCGGGAGGCCTTCGCGGCCACTTGTGCTTGCGTATATCATTATAGAGTACGGCAACGCGTTTCGTTGAATTACCAAACACTTTGTGTTTTTTATACATTTTACTACAGACGCGAGGGAAGAAAAAATTTTTAAAAAACCGGAACATTTTGCTTGCAGTGCACGTTTACCTTTCGCATGCGTTTGTTTTGTTCCGTACATACGTACCGAGCTTGTAATTATACGCTTATCTCGCGATCGCGATTTCTGCGTTTGTTAATGTTTTCTCTCCCCCCCCCCGTCCCCACCCGTCCCCATTGTGTTTCGCCTTTGAATGCCAGTGTTGTCTGGTTTGTCGACGACCAAGTGCTCACACGAGGAAAGTTTTGTCAAACAGCCGGATAATGGGTCACGTAAGAAGACAAGTGTCCGAAACGTTTTTCTCGGATACGCGTACTGTATTATGCATGGAGGTCAAAGTTGATAAATCACCCGGGAGTCGGTTGGCGCTGAGTTTTCGTTGCGTCTCTTAAATACCTCTCGAAAGATTGCTATTCATCCGCGGAGGTTTTTTTTTTTTTTTTTAACAGCAACGTTCGTCTTAAAATGCTATACGTGTACGTAATATACAAGACGAGACATACCTGTGATACTGGTTTTGTAAAAAATTGAACTCCTCCTTGATCCTGTCGCACGTCTCGAGGATCGTGAATTTGAAAGGCTGGTTTGACTGAGGTGGCCCCTGAAAAGAGAAGGTCCATCGTCAATGCGTTACATAAAACATAGAGAAAAGGAAGAAGAAGAAAAAAAGAGTCAGGACATCTCTCGCATTCTCAGTTGAATCCCATTTACAAGCTTTTAGCAATTTTTTTTTTTTTTTTTTTCATTCCAAACAAACGAGATCTCGGGACCTGAGAGTATATCGTCGCAGAAACACCCCTACGATCCTTCGAGCGTGTGCAATTAATTTTACCTTTTCGGGAAAAAAAAGATGACTAATTTCCAGAAACCGAGAGCCGTGCAACCTGATACACGTGTATTTGTCGGGGACAAGAGGCCCGCCGAGGCCAAGGATCGGTGAGTCCCATTCGAATGCAAATGTGTGTATAGGCATTCACGCAAGCTCCAAAGGTGTAAGCAATAAAACGTGTCCTTCGAACTATACTATTTTTGCCCCACTGATGCGTCTAGAGTTACTTTCTTTTACGATCGAGTATTTCTTAATAAATTCATAGTTTAACGATCGGTCGACGGGGCTGTTTTGTTTTTACGGCCCGTGTATAGGCCGGGCTATTATATCGGGTGCACGAGGACATGGAGAAAAAAAAAGGAGAGACTTACATAAATCAAAAGAAAACGTTTAAACCCGATAGTCATCTCCCTCTCAAAGACGAAATTTACGCAACACGTGCTACATATAGCTGATATCGACCGGCATGCCGCGTGAATTAGCCCCAACCGTTGCAAAATGATAATTACCCCCTCGATCGGCTGACGCAGTTGTTAATTACAAAGAGTCAAAGTTTTAATTACCAATGAGTATGGTATTAGGTGGTACGGTGTTGCGGTATTTCGTGCGCGTTAATGATAGGTTTATCACATGCCAGTCAATCTGTTCGATTTGCAGGGTATGTCATGTTGCAGAAATGCGAAAAGCAGCTGTACATTCGTATGGATGAGACTGGGCAAAATTGACCTGTCGCTTAAAATGAGATGCCGTTGCACTTGCAATTATAGTCAAAGGCAATTGCATTTTTTGTTGCTTTTTTTTTTCAAACGAAAAAACGTGTCTCAACAAACGAATGAGCAAAACATAACTTGTTCAACTTCACCAAACGACACGAGAGTTTTGAGAATTATCATGTACGTATTTGTACCTACGACGATCATTTTCGTGACGGATGATTGTACGAGGAAGCACGTCCAACAAAAACCACGTGCATCAATGTAAATTGTTATGTAAATAAGGTGTATTCTCGTAAGAACAAACAAAAGATTGCTCACACGACACAACACTCGATTACAGGCCACACACCCACACGCATTTGTCGATGAGAAAAAAAAAAAATTCAGAAAGCTCGCTAAACCGACGTGCAAAACCTATACACACAAACGAGCTCGGCGGTATAATATCCGTCACTTCGATAATGCCATTAGAGAGGCGGGAGAGAGAGAGAGAGCATCGCATTTACACGCGCGTTATGTACCCCGCGGAGCACCTTTTAGCTCAATTATCGGCGCAGTGGCGCATTAAAACGCACGTGCGAGCGCGTGTGTATAATATACGCGAGCAAAGTAAGTAGGTGCCGCATAAACACACACACACACACGCTGTGGGAGATGTGCACGCCAGATAGACGCACGAACGCGCGTTTAATTGCGCCAATGTACGTGTACCTACATTCTATATATATGTATACGAATACGCTTACGCGCGTCGATATATGTATATCTATACACGCGAGCTCTTGCAGTGAAATTACGCGAGAGATCGAGCACTTTGGAGAGAGCGAGATGGATAGATAGATACACCGATATACGGAGGGGTGGGGCAGAGGGGCTGATAAATCGCACGTATTTTATTAGCGGCGCGTTTCTAATTTTCGATCATTAGAAACTTTCGCGCGTACTATACCGATTCCCCCTGTATGTATATATAAGTATCGGTATCCCTTTTTCTCGCTTACATGTGCGGTGCTCCTTTGTACAATGTGTATATGTATTCTGTTATACCCAGCAGTTGCAGGATACGATCGGGCATTTATATTGTATATATTGGTGTGTATATTGTACGGGCCCTCGGTGTGTGTGTACATGTTTCGCGCGTGACCGACAGCTCTCGCGCCAATTAAGTCTGACTCGTGTTTCGATCTCTTTTTCTCTCTCCCCTTCCCCAGTCCCCCTTTCGTGCCGAGGGCAAACAAGAAATACCCATACAAACTGATACAGATATATAAACATACCAAAGTGGATGGAGCGGCTCTTGGGAGAAAAGAGCGCGGCTATACAGGGATTGAAATTTCGTCCGGCCTCCCCCTCCCCCCTCGCCACAAGTATCTCCAGCTCCGGCAGCGGCCTTCGTTTTCGAACGATCGTTCTAAACGTGTTGGTGAACTGAATTTGTGATTTCCGCAGGAGAGATAAGTGTACCGGAGACGCGAGCGTTTGTACAAATAGCTTGAGAATTAATTGGATTACTTTGGGGTGTATTATATTAATGACAAGAGTGAGCTCGAGTGGTTAGTGTTCGAGGGTAATGTGCACTGTAAGCATGTATATGTTTACTGGTGTCGATTGAAAAAAAAAAAAAAGTCGGTAAGGAGAAAAGCAAATTGATATTTTTCTAGTGGATGATCGGTAACGAGTTGAATGAAATGATTGTTAAATTAGCAGACGAGGAGTAAAGAAATATGGAGGGACAGGGATGAAATAGGGCACGAATACCGAGTAAATAAAATAAAAAAAATAATCCAAACAGAAAAAGACAAAAAAAAAAAAGAGAGATGAAATAAGAACGATTTCGCGTAGTGGTAGCCGAATAATTTTGGCTCTCTTTTTGCCCACAGCATCACTCCTGTGTGTATACGTGGATGCTGTTACAGATCTGGCGGCCCGAGAAGCCAAAGATCGAGGCCGCTGCGCTACATGTGCCCACGTATAATGTATAAGTATACACGCGTGCACTCGCGATTCTCGAGCGGCGATATGCCAAAGATTTATCGAGACTATATATCTACATACATGTGTGTGTGTGTGTGTATACTCTTCCGAGAGAGTAAAACAGCAGCGGCCGTGGTAGTCCCTATATATATGCAACAGGACTGCATATCGGATTGAATTAATCCCCGTACAGCTGTTATGTCCCCCCCCCCCGTCGTCTTTTTTTCCCTCCTCCACCTCGTTCCGCTTCTTGTTCTCCCTCTCGCCGCGATCTCGTTTCCAGCCCGCTTCCCGAGCCAAGCCGTTACGTATCTCCTATCCGGCCCCGTTCTCCTGATCGCACGACGTATCAGTGCATGTATACATATTGTGTTTCTTCTTAATTCTCCTTCTTTTTTTTCATACCACGCATCGGTTGACGTTGTTATGCGGATGTTTTTTTTTTTTTTTTTCCTCCACCGGATGTTGCAAGGTGGAGGTGACAGCTCTGATGGATTTTGAGATAACGAGAGGCTGCGTTTAGCAGCAGATCAGACGATGCTTGTACGGAGGCAACTCGCGCTAATTACACAGCGGAGCTGGCCGATATATGTGGGTTTTATATGTTACCTGGGACGACGACAGGTGAAAGACGAATATATACATTGTTGTTGTCAACAAGAAGACGAGTAATCATCCCGCGTTTGATTTCATTCGTTGAGTACTTAACCTGTAGGTAATCAGTACTCACGCATACCTAATATTACAAACGATCGTTGCACACGCAAAAACAAATATATGTGATGATATTTCACAACCAAGGATGCCTCAAGCGGAAAAAAGCTTAACTGATACTATACAAAAAAAAAAAAAAAAAAAAAAAAGACACCGATTGAATCGAGAGGTACCGCGGCCGAGAGTTCATGTAATGGCAAACACGAGCACCGGCCCTGTGTGTTTATATACGCGTGTGTATGCAAATACAGGCACGAAGAGCTCATTGTGCAATTACTCCCCCACTCCATCTCTGTATATCTACTGCTCTCCGCGAGAGAATAATAACTGTTGCTGCTCGCCCATTTGGCGAGAAATTCCCATGCACGGAACAGAGAGGGAAAGATATATATATACCGATACACAGTAGCTGCAGCATACTTGTTCGCTCCTCTGTGTGGGTACCCATACACACATATATATATATGTAGGTGCCGGCACGTACGTAAGTAGTGGGACGGTAAAGAGGATGCAATTAATGTTAAAGAGCCCGAGACAAGATGACTATAAGTGCGCTCCGCTGGGTCTGTTACCCATATATACTCGCAATACACATACCGATGCTATACAGGTGCTCGGGTGCTGATTACGGCGCGTAAGTAGGCGCGAAAAACGAAGTCCTTACGGATAAATATGCACAACGCAAGCTGGAAAGGGAAGAGAAATAAAGAATTGGAACGAATGGAGCTGTTTACTGTTGTTTCGGCGCGGAAAACAGAACTCTTTTTTTCCCCAGCAGAGGTATATTACTTATGTAGATTTTCGTCGAGAGAGGGCTCGAATTTCATTGTTTCCCTGTCTCATTTCCAAGGGCGATTGTTCTAAGGCACCGAGGGTGTTTTTCGACGGAGCGATTTCGACGTTGTCGGGTTTTTTCCGTTTCTATTATAAAATTTGTCGAAACTATACTTGGAATGAAATTCGAGTGAAAATCCAATCATACGAGTGTGCATGTAATAGTAAACATAACTGGGGCCAATTAGTCGAATGGAGAGTGAACGTCTCTTACCATAACGTAGTGTCTGTGAGTCTCGAGCCTTTCGGTCGCCAACTTTTCGCACTCCATCTTCATGCTGAAACAGAAAGAAACAAGACGCATGAGAGCCAAGCGGTTGGTATAATATAATGTACACCGTGACACACACGCTTATATATATATACATGCATAAACTTTGCGGCTGGCTCGTCTTCCACGAGCCGTTAAAATATACACTCGCAACCTATATAAGTCGGCCAACCAACTACTCATATACACAGTTGGCTGCTATCCAACTTTTCTGCGCTATATATATACACGTATAAGTGCACATTAAACCGTGACGTCGCTGC